AATATAATAACGGTATGCGGCCGAAGTTTCAAAAAAAGGGCAGTTGAATTCTCGTGCTAAAGCAGAGCCTTCTTCTTTGGAGACCTGAAAAAAAAGGTCACACTTGTCAAGAAAGCCCAAAGCAGAAAGTTTATTGCTTTACCATTTCTTGTTCTCCTTGCTCTGTAACTATGCACGCACCCTCCCAGTTCCAGAACAGCTCATTTCCACTGATCTCTAAATCTTTCTCTACAAACCTGTTTTTCTTTCTTGTTCCCTCATCGCTTCTCTAGCAACGCAATCACCTGCAAGAGACTCTCTGGACGTTGATGAAACAACAAAGTCCTTCAAAAGAATATTCTTTTCTTGCTGCTTAATCTAGAAGTTGCCTAACGTGAGCAGTCCTCAGCCCTAACACAAGCATTTGTCAGTTTGGTAAGCTAAGGATATTTCCTTCTCCTGGTCAAAATCTATGATGTTTGCCAAACAACTTCCCAGAACCAAGCAAAACCTTTCAAAAAAAAAAACAAAAAACCAACAACCCCCAAACCAAACCAAACCCAACCCAGTCTTGCCGAGGCCACAGAAAAGCAACACCCACTCCGCATCCTATACTTTACATCTCTCAGCACGGGTGTTCTACCACAGCTACCATAATTTCCCTGCTACGACGCACACTGAAAATTCATCTAATTCCAGGCATACAAACAGCACCTCTGGAACTTGTTTTCCAAAGTACGTTTCCTTTGAGTGAAGCTCTGCTTCAAACTGTTTTCCCACAGACGGTAGTTACTGTTTTCTTAAGCTGAAAGTCATTTTCCTTTCTGTCCATTCTTACCCAAGTTCTCCATTCTTACACATCCATTCTTAGCACGCTGGCATCTGCAATTTGTACTAGTATCTGCAAGGGGTTTACGGAATGCTAAATCTCTATTAACAGTATCTCCTTTCAAGAATTAAAAAAAAGGAAAAGCCCAAGAGCAGCTGAAACCCAAAGCATCAACGTGAAGACTTTACTCCCGTGATTGCTATACGCATTTGGTTATTCAACACATTCTGCGTTAAACAAGTACTTCTCTAACGTTAAACCCACTATATAGCAAACACGCAAAACATTAAGAAAGGGAGCGTAACCTCTTGTATTACTGCATTCTACCACAGAAATAGCTTGTAACTGTGGGCCTCTGGGCCATTTACCTGCCGTAGCTGTGTCAGATCAGATTTATTTCCCACCAGGACCACGGGAGTGTCATCAGTGCGTCGAACGCGATAGATTAGCTGTTTGAACTCACGCACTTCATGGAAACTGCGCCGGTCTGTGATTGAATAACAGATGATAAATCCCTCGCCAGCCCTCATGTACTGGTCTCTCATGGCCGTAAACTCTGCCTAGAAACAGACAATTACATTTCAATTGCACAAATACAATGACTTTCTAATTTGCTCAGAATGGGAAACACGATATGCATTCCAAAACCAGCTGCACAGGAACTCTGTAAACAAGCTGGCCATCTATCTTCTCGTCCCGTTACATACAGGGTGAGATATTATGTATGCCTGGGATTTACACCAAGTTTCCCTTGCTATAGAAATCACAACAACGTATCATTTATCAGCCAAGACGTATTGCTTGTTGATCGTGAACAGCAAAGTGCAACGGAGAAAGCAGCGCATGAAACCAGAGTACTGTCTGAGCTGCCCAAATATAGACAGTATGATACAGATGCTATAAGCAACAAGATGCTGAGAAGAAGTAAGAGAGCTCAAAAAACAATTTGGAAGAAAAGACAGGCATACTTTTACAGGATTTCTGTCTCTACACCTGACAATTACAGACTTCTTAACATCCTCCCAATTCACTTATTATTACTCACATACCTGTCCTGCCGTGTCCAAGATATCCAGATTAGCAGGTTCGTCATCAATGCGTATTCGTATTTTATAAGCATCCTCTGTGAATTCACAGCGCATCAGAAAGAACAAGATTGGAATACAATTGCAATACTCATTAGTCATCAATTCACAAAGAGAATGTTACACTAGAAGAACCTAATCTGGTAATATTACTATGCTAAACCAGGCTGATCTTTGTTTAACACCAAATTAAACTTTTAATTGTTCTGGTGAGATTTAGTTTGCTAAAATCATGTTATTGTATGTGCTATTTCTGATGGACATGTGCCCACATCCCATAAATTCAATTTTGGACACCTTGGTGGGAAGCACAGAGTAAGAGCATTACATTTTTCTCAAAGCCAGAAAACACCCATGATTCAAGAGAAGAACTGGCCACCACCAACTGCCATTTTCTTAAAAGTAAGACAATAAATATTCTGTCCCTCTAAGTCAGCACTCCCACACTGCAACAGTCCATTTTCAACAAGAAGCTGCCTGTTTTTCCCACTTTTCCTTCGACGGCGTAACTGTTAGTTAAGGCTTCTCTTAGAGATGCTGCAAAAGTTCTGCACCAACACCGTAAGTTGTCAAGCACTTTCATCCCTCCCAATTTCTAAAACACAGAGCACAATCTGGCCTGACAATTTAATAGCAGAGAGCTGATCTACAGCACGGAGACTAGATTTTTTGAATAGACAACTAATAAGCACTTATCCGCAGTTCTTCATCCTTGTCTGCCAACATGCAAACACACACAGATAGCGCATGGCCTGAATATATGTGATAGGAAAACCATTAAAGATCTAAAACTCAGGATATGTATCCCAGTCCTCACGGCAGTCTCAGAACTCTTAACACCTTTTAATGAGTAATCTAAGCGACTCCAGTCCTCAATTTACAGCCAAATTTATAGTTTTCTTTAAATTGAGTACTTTAAAGCAATGGACCCCACAACAGCTTAACTTGCTGAGAGACGGAGCGAACGGCAAAGAGAAATGAAAGATTTTTCTTACCAATGGTGGGATCATGATCCTCTGGAAACCGGTGACTGATGAACTGCATGGTCATGGCTGGAAACAAAAATCAGAGGCACAATTACACAAGTCTCGGTAAGCATCTGCCGCTTCAGCATTCGGCTCACAACACGCCCGAGCACATTATTTCACTAACCGCTAAAACACAAAACCACACTCGGTGCCCGACTCGGAAGAAAGACGGTCAATGCAACGGGTTCAGTAACCCAGGAGCACAGAGGACGGCGCCCGGGCCCTCGGCGCTCCTACGAGCCTCGGAACAAAGCTGGAGGCGGGCGGAAGGCGATGACACCCGCGCTCCGAGACCCCTCGGAGCCGCCGCCGCAGGGCGCCCCCACCCGGGCTGTTTTGCTCCAGGAAC